CACAGCTTGTATAATCGCCATAGAAAAACATTGACCAACAGAATGGGATGGCCTGGAGCAGCTGCACATGAGCCTAAGGTCAGCATGCCCAACACCCGTCAGCTAGAGGGGCATAAAGTGCCCCAGTATTGGGCTGTTGAGCAGTGGAACTGCTCCTTTTGGGATGATCTGGAGTGATCCAGAACTGACCATCCAACATCAGTACCTGACCTCACTAATGCTCAATCAAATCCTCACAGCAATGTTCACACATCTAGTGCAAAGTCTTCTCAGAAGAGTAGAGGCTGTTACTGCAACAAAAGGAGGACAAAGTCCCTATTAATACCTTTAAATTCAGAAGAAACTACTATGAAACATCTTTTTTTTCAGTTTCATGAATGTCCTTCAAACTGAAACAAGCAATTTTCATTATTTCAAAATGTTTAGATGAACAAAAACAATGCTGATCATTTGAAATCTAATACACACGTCAGACCATCCTCTGCCCTTCACAACATCTGGACATTCCAGATATATTTCTAACTGAACTCCTTCTACATTTCTGCAGGGAGGACACGTCAGCTCTTCGGTTGTGGACAGCTCCTGTCTTTCACTGATTTGCTTCCTTCAGACAAATTGATCAGGAAGCATTAACACAGTGGACTCACGCTGTAAAAAAGACACCTCAGGTAATTGATAACGCATTGATAGGCACTTTTAGTCCTTGGCAGGAGTGTCTGCTACAGTAAACTCTCTCTGATGTGAACTGAGTCAGATTCTCACCCCCAATTACACTCCTGTTCAAAAGTGCAGAATCACCCAGAGTAATGATTTTTTGTTTTTATACTGAATTATTAAGCATCTTAAACTAGGCACCAAAAGACATTTATGATGCGTTTAATATTTCAGGAATTTTGACAATATGAAGCTAATGCTCTATTTAGAATAATTAAAAATTTGCCCTGAAATTTAATGGTTACTTTTGCAATATGATGCATTTTTGACATTTTATTAAAGTTAATTAAATATATTATAGCAGATATAATTATAGTATAGAAATTAACTATATTATAAATTCTTTTTTAATGTTAATTTTGTTAAAACTCCTATCTAGAAATTAATTTTATGATAACTTCATGTATATTTGCTATAACACTCTTTCTTGGTATTACTTTTGTTATAATGTTTTTTTTGATATTCATTTTCTCATAAGTTCTTTAACTATCCAAATTTTTTTTTACATTAATTTTATGATCATTTTTTTCTTGATATTTATCTTATTAAAACTTTTTTCTTGATTGTAATTGTATTATAACTACTCCTTTGATATGACTTTTATCATAACTTCTTTTTTATCCTAATTTTGTTGTTATTTTTGATACTCATTTTATGATCATTCCGTCCTTGATATTCATTTTATTGAAACTTTTTCTCCTTTGATATGAATTTTTTCATAACTTCTTCTTTATCCTGATTTTATTACACATTCTTCTGATAATCATTTTATCATAATTTCTTTTTGATAGTCATTTTATTTAAACTTTTTCTCCATTAATATGAATTGCATCATAACTTAATCTCATCCTAATTTTAATATTAGTTCTTTTTGATACTCATTTTTTAATCATTTCTTTCTTGATATTCATTTTATTGAAGTTTTTCTCCTTTGATATGGATTTTATCATAACTTCTTTTTTTCCTAATTTTATTTGAACTGTGAAATTCATTTTATGATGCCTTCTTTCTAGATATTAATTTTGTGATAACTTCTTGCTTGAAATTTTGCTGGAATCTTTCTTGGTATTACGTATGTTATAACTTCTTTCTTAATATTAATTTATTATAACTTCTGTCTTTTATTTTTATTATAACTTCTGCTCTGATATAAACTTTATTATACCTTCTTCCTTGTTAGTAAGTTTATTATATTTTTTAGATTATACATCTTTTTTGGTTTCGTTCATCATTTTGGAAAAACATAAAAAAAAAAATGACAAAAATGAAAACCTTTCTCCCATGTCACAAAAATTAATGTTTTAATTTTATAAAGTTTAGATTTATTTGAAATTAAATAACAACAGAATGTAAAACTGATTATATTCTTGCTATTAGGGGTTTAATAAAGTACATTTAAGGCAGCCAGGTCAAAACAATGAGCAGCATCATATTAGAATAACTTTATACATGTATCTGCTACCAGGCTGGTTTAATATCATTGAAAACCTTGATTTCAAACTTTTGAAGCGTTTGAATGTAGTTTTTGATTGTGAGGTGTGTGTCTGCTGTTTTCTGCTTATTTGGACAGCGTCTCTGACTTAATTGAGCAGTGTGGCGTTAATAATTACAGTTTGCCGTGAGCAAAAGCAGTTGGCGTCATGTTTTAGAGGCATACTGGAGCAGAGACGGGGGGGAACTCGAGGGACTCCTGCTTCTGGGTGGGAGAATTCACTCGAGAGCCTTACCGAAGGCTCAGGTTGCCTGTTTCTCCAGTATCAATTAACACTTCCTGCAGTCGATCATTATGAACCTGAAAATCATGAGATTTTTAGCACCTGGGCTGAAGCAGAGAACAATATTAACCCTTACAAGTCTAGAGTTATTGCTGTCATTCTGCTTAATTGTAATTAAAACGTAATTATGTAAATATAATGTACGTTGAATGTCATGAATTACATTTATATTTGATTTATATTCTGCGTTGACTGGTTTGAGTCTGCCCTCCTGACTCGTTTCTGTTTGTTCTGATGTCAAAAATGGAGAAAAATGTAAAGCATGTTTTCCTTTCTGCAAAATAAGGATGTACATATAACAATAATGTAATAACAAGACCACTTTATTTACAAAATGACCAGTCAAAACAGACCTTAATCGAATTCATTGTGACAGTTTGTTTTGAGTGGTCCTTTTTAAATGAAACAAACACTCAACAGACATGTCAAGAACATATGAGGGTTAGGTTTTGGGTTGAGGTTAAGGCTAGGGTCAGGATTAGGGCCAGGGTTAGGGTTAGGTTTTGGGTAATAAAGCTAAAGAGTGACACATTAAATACTGAAAAAGCAATATTATATTTGGTTGTCAAGGCTTCTGCATATTTTTCATTTAAATATATGTTTCCTGCTTTTTCTGATGCTGAAAAATGAGTCACTTGTCCACGATTCTTACTGGAAATTAAACAAGCGAAAGGGAGACTTTTGAACAGTGCAGTAGATCCCCTTCTACTTACAAACAGATGTGAAATGGGTTAAAAGTTTAGGATATGCACTTTCCACACAATTTCTCCACTTGTTTCTATGAGCTACATGTGAGAAATAAAATGTAAGAAGAGGCATTTCAAGCTGTAACAGTCATCAGGGACCTTGGAGGGTTAGGTGCAGGGAGGACTCCCCCACCCCCTCACGCCCATACTCATGATGAGGCCCCATATGGCAAGGAAATTGGGCTGTGCCCCTTTCTTCGAGACCAATTCAGTCCATGCAGTCGATTTACATACAGATGAGGTGAAAATAAGAATATTTCCAGCTTTCCTTTCAGCCAATTCAGACGAAGCGTGCAATCTTGATTTTAAGACAGAGAGCACATCAACGCCTGCATGCATCATACAGGTCTTAGTAAAGAATACACACAACAGGAAACGTTAAACAGATAAATGAAGTTCACTTTGTGTTCTGTGTCTCCTGGATGCACAACGAGCTGATGGGACCAGAGTGAAACCAGACCGGACTGGACTAGAGCTTTTTTATCCAACATCATTTTTTAATAAAACTAGAAACGTGTATTTCCTGAAGGAAACGCAGAATGGTTGTACAGCTTAAATGTTTCCCACTTCCTGCTAGGCTGTGGCTAGGCAGTTCCTATGGTATCCCAGGTGGTTGCTAAGGTGTTGCTAGACAGTGTCTATAGTACCCCACGCGGTTGGTAAATTGCAGTTGTCATGGGTTTAGTTGTGCGTAGGGAGTTGCCAAGTGTTAGCTACATGTTGCTGAAAATGAATAGGAGACTCTGGGAGGAATGAGGGATGAAAAAATGACAAATAGAGGAGAGCGGGTCAGTATGGGTGTGGACTAGAGCTTTGGGGCCTGCCCTTAGTGAGTTAATGCATTTTGGTGTCTCTTGGGCGAAGGAAAAAAAAGGACTAGGGTTTGGGCGAAAATGAATGGGAGGAACGAGGGATGAAAAAATGGTAAAATAGAGGAGTGCAGGTCGGTATGGCTGTGCAGTAGAGTGTGAGGACCTACCCTTACTGAGTACATGTAGTTTGGTGGCTGTAGGGCAATGAAGTAATACAGTTTGTGTGGCGACAAAAAAGGAATGGGACTCTATGGGAGAAACGAGGGATGGGGAAAAAAAATGACAAACAGGTGCCTGTGGGTCAGAACAACATTGAATTTGTATTTGGGGGCCTGCCCTGAGATGGTATATGTGAAACTGTGCCTTTCGGTCAAGCAGAAGTTCAGTAGATTGTCATGCAATTTTTTACCCCACTCATTCCTATGGGAAAAAATTCCGCAAAATTCCATTCCCACACGGAAACCGTGCATCCGATCAAAATCTGTATACAAGCACGAATCACACAATCAGACCAGACAATCTGGAGTTGGAACGGTGTTGATATCTCTGAAGCATGTTTCTAGGCGGTTGCTAAGGTGTTTTTAGGCAGTTGCTACAGCTTGAGGGGTGTAAACTAAGTGGTTGTTAGGGAATTGCCCTGTGGTTGCTAGTTGTTGTGATTAAATGGGAAGTTGATATCTCGAAAACATAAAGATAATCATTGGTAGATGGGTGGAGAGGAAAAAAGAAATCAGATTTAAAAAAAAAACAGCCAGTCAGCAGCCCTGAGTTACTCGAGGCCCCGAAGCCTGTGCATCAAATCGCCCCTGTCTACAACTACAATCTGCAGGGCCCGTTCTCTACTGCGAGTGAGAAATACTTCATGTAAAGTTATGACATGCTTTTGTTATCGCTGGTGAGAGCTGCAACAGGGATTAATGTCTTTATCTGTAGACAGACTTTAGTGGGTTTACCTGTGGATGATGCGTTTGTTGCTTAGGTAGTGCAGTGCAAGAGCCAGTTCGCAGATGTAGAGTTTAACAGTGCTTTCAGAAAAGTGGACGTTCTGCTGCAGATGGTAGCGCAGGTCACCTCCCAGCAGCAGGTCCACCACCATAAACATATCCTCCTCATCCTGAAATGAGTACCTGGATCAGACAGAGACAGAGAATGATTTTTAACCTGTTAAAATTGCTGCTTTGTGTATATATATATATATATATATATATATATATATATATATATACATATATTTATGTGTGTGTGTGTGTTCTAATGATGTTAAAAGATTGAAACCAAGTAACTCCTTTTCACAGCTGCCAAAAAATGTCATTTTCAATACCAAGTCCTTCAGTTTTATTATTTTTTTTTTCTTTAGTAACATTGTAACAGTAACAGTGTGGATTTCTGCAGTTCTCTTACTCTGATTTCTTTCGGATTTCTCAGTCTGCGCTGCGACGGTGGTACTGGAAATAAGCAAGCAGCATTGCCGCGAGATGCAGGAAAACACTTTTGAGGTGACAGTGAAACCAAATACATGCTTCACGAAATTATTGAAATATTCTACATCTACTAGATGATGTATGTTCATATTTTCAGGTTAAGTGACTCAATGTAGACTCATGTAGACCTGGATTTCCCCATTTTCTGATTACCCAAGTGCATATAAAGACACTCAAAGATTATATATATATATATATATATATATATATATATATATATGGAAATGTCATGGAAAGTATATGATTTATGAAGTCCAGAAGCAGATCAACATTTATTAAGGTGTTTTTACTGTGTTAAAATGCTATTTTTTATTGAAGCAGTTGTACAGGATTGTGTGATCTGAAAAAAAAAGCAGCATTTTATGTCTATGTGTTTATAGCGACACAGCAGGGGGTTCTCACTCCTCCCCTTTCACCCCTCATTGCTCACTAGCAGCTCAACACAGAGTCACAACATTTCACACACACAGACAACAATGTATTGATTAATCTGATGACAGGGTTACAGGGAAAACTCTTTCATTTAATCATGTTAATTAAAAATATTGTAGTCGATTTCCTTCCCAATGGTGGAACGTCCACTAATGAGCCTGCAGAAAGAAACAACAGTGAGCGTATAGTACCTGCATCATTAGATGTTAATTAATTTTATTGTTATTTTTTTCATGCTCACCAATTGTTTGTTTTTTTCTTTATGTTCCTTCTTGAATGGTTTACTTTTGAGCATGTTGAACTGAAATAATGCATAGTTTTAGAGCCATTTTTTAAATGTAACAGTCCTGTTTTACCGGTGCATTTTGTCTGTTCCAACTTGTTCACAAACAAAATATTCTGACTCACATATCATATTGCGAAACCACATTCAAGTATCAAAATGTACTGTTGCCATATTGCCCACCTTTAATCTGACCGCACCAATGAGCTGAAGAGAAAGCTACTGTATATTTGTGTGGTTAAGACTTCTACAGAAACTCCAGGAAGTTCTGACGGGGGATGATTTTGTGATTTGAAGGAAAACCCTTCATTAGACGAGACTGTGTGTTTGGGTTTGAGCCCTCGAGCCTGAAGGGTTATCCATCAGTCGCCTCATCTGTCAGCAGACCGACATCAGCAAGCTGCCCACTTCCACTCTCCTCTGAAGAGTCACCGCTCAAATCAGTATTGATTTTACATGCTGGATCTCTGAGGCTGCCTCACTTTGACATACCTGAACTATTAGACTGCTGCACTCGAGCGTATTATGTGGTTTATTACATAAACTGTTCAACAGAAAAAGCCTTCGTATTCAAGCCATGAAAACATCAAGGTCAGCTTTTCATCAAGCAGCGGCTTCCCTTGACGTTCGTTATAGCCCACGTTCTGCCACCACTGTTAGCGTGGAGAAGGCAATACAGTAACAACCTGAGTCACTTCATTCTTCTGTATTCAATAACAAGACAGAAAACAGGAGGTTGACTGAGAGCCAGAGGAAAAAAACGACCTTCACCGAGGAAGGAGTTGAGACTGACTAAGCAGATGTCTGAATGTACTGTATATTTAAAGCTGTGGGGAAAAATCTCCTTACCTGTGGTCAATCAGCTGAGATTTATTTGGTGTCTAAAGTTTGCTTCTTTGGTTTAGTGCTGGAGCTACAAGGCTAATGTAGCTAACAAGCAATGGAAGTGTATGTACACTGGTTAGCACTGTGCTAACCAGATCATCACAGTTGCCTCAAACAGCACAGCTGTTAATTAATCTCAAATGTGGTTTATGGTATTCCTAACAAAATTCAGGCTTCAAGACGGCCACTGCTACTGTTTGTAAGTATTCAGTGTATATTTCCATGTTTTATATCATACAAGGTTAGAAACCGCATCACTCATTGTCAGACTTTGCTCTGTATTGTGCCTTATTCGAAAAGCTCTAGACTGTCTAGCAGCAAGGTTCAGGGCCAAAAAAGACAAAACAGTATACAAATGAAGTTTGAAATCAGTTCTTAAATAAATAAATAAATAAATAAATAAATACACACACAATATAAAACATGTTTGTTCTCCCATGGGGATAGGCCAGGGGTCGGCAACATGTGGCTCTGGATCCACATGCGACTCTTTTACTGCCCTGTTGTGGCTCCACGGCAGAATCAGATTTTCAGGTCAAAATAAAATAATCCTCCTTCACAGTAAAATAAAGCTCTGCTGACACAGTTTTAACACTAAATGGTCTTAAACGCGGGAGTTAATGTAGCCTATAACTGCTAATTCACCCTTAACACTGAAGATCGGTGCAGTACTGCTGGTCACCATAGCAACAATCTTGCCTAGCTAGTTGCTAACGAAAATGCAAAAAGAAAGATTTAAGACGAACATCAATAGTTTGGTGACGAATGGACTTTTATAAGCACTCCAGCTGGTTTCGTACATATTTAATCAGCTACAAGAAACTGTCAAACACTAAAAAGTCACGAGGCTGAAAGCAGCTTCTCGTTTGCCAGCTTCTTGTTTGAATTTTCCCATTCCACCTTAAATGGTGCAGCAGTTACATTCTGGCGCCTCAGCCACCATTTAAGGTAGAATGAGAAAATTTGAACAAGAAGCTGGAAAATGAGAAGCTGACTTTAGTCTCATTGAAAGTTGAATGTTGAGAGACATTTTATAAGAAACTGTTCCATTTTTGGAAAAGTTTCCTGCCAGAGATGTGAGAAAAGCAGCTATAGCTGAGCTAAAGCTGAAAGCAGAGCAAAGTGAGTCTGCATTTTCATTTGTATTATATTTTTATCCTATACTAGTACATTAACACATACTGAGACATATTTACAACCAAGATGATAAGATGGCCACAAAATGTTGTGGCTCCCAAGGTGGTTTGATTTTTGTTGAAAGGACAAAATGGCTCTTCTTAACATTTGGGTTGCCGACCCCTGGTTTAGGGGGTTGGGTTAAAGTAACTTTATGATGGGCCAAATCAAACATTCTCATGGACAAACTTTGACCCTTTGGACAACCCTGGTCTACAGAAACAGCTATGATGGCACGATACCACTTTTTGTTATTGAACCTTTGGGTACCTTCTGATACTGATACTGTTTGACAAAACAACACTGAAGAATATATAGATAAGCCTATGTTAATATTCCTTTGTAACATTAGACCAACAGGCCCAGCAAAAACGATGCTAAATGTTGTTTCATGCTTTAATGTCTACATGGCATAAATTCGCTTATTATTTACCAGATTTTGGTTCGAATTGGAATAGAAAAAATTTGAAATTAGGAGTCCAATTTCAGCTTTGGTGCATTTGTGTTCTGGTTGTCGGACACTGATAGAAACTGGAGAAATACCATAGTTATACAGCCATCAGTACCATCTGGTCCACGGCTTGTTTCGCGCACAAGGCCCAAAGACCGTGGCCTCATCTGATTCAGCTCAGTCAGACGGCTTCTCAGGCAGGGCAAGAGAAAATGCAGCAACTGGGTCTGGTGTCCATGTTAGACTACAGCCAACCCCAAAACGCTGGCCATTCCTTTATGACTGCCTCCTCAAAAACAAAGTGGACGTCTTCAGATGCAATGGGCTAGACAGTGGGAGGTGATGAAGAGTCTGTTGCTGAGCCTTTTCAGGACAGATTTTTTCGATATCCCATCTAGTACTTTCTGCTGATATCGAGCCAACAGCGATACCAATCCAGACCAATATGCCATCCCTAGTAACCCCTCAATGTGAATGAATAGGCAGCTAAACTGCTGCAGGCTGAATGAGTAGGCAAATATAAATGCTTTCATTAATTAAAAACAGGCTGTTCATGTAGCTTAGCTTCTGTATGTGGGCTGGAGTTAATCAAACTCATTTAAAAAAAAAGGAAAAGTCAGTTTTCTGTGAAATGTGGCCTTTAAGATTAGAAAAACAGGCATTCGTATCAAGTGTGTCCAGGCTTTTAACTTGCACTACCTGTATGAGACGTTATATATGTTTATGACCAGGCCTGGATGGTGCAGTAACTCTTAGTTCTGATGGCTCACTTTCCCCCAGCGGAGGGTGAGTATAGAGATAAGACGCTGGAGCCTGTGAGCTTTTCTGAGCATGAACTGTAAATTCCACAGAGAGCATCAGGGACATCAGCAGTCTGCAGATTAATGGCCTAAAGCTTCCCAAAGGCAGACATCTCTTTTGGGAGAAGACAGTAGGTGGAGTTAAGCCCACCGACCAAATGCTGCATGATAGGGCCTTAATGGCAGCATTCATCAGAATGGCAGCAGGGGAACGAGTCTGGCCCTGTTAAAGCTTTTACACAGCAAATACTATTTATTTGTGATTTAGTCTGATGTCAGTACATTTATATGAATAAGTATGAATAACTAAAGAAATCTTGCAAAACAAAAGCAATGTTTCAGATAGCCAAAATGCAACATTATTAATTCTCCCCCTGCTCGTCGTTTAGACAGCTCTTGCAGGCAACACAGACTCAACCAGTCATTGTTGTCTCTGCTGCTGGCATGACAACAACCACGGCTAGTCACTGCTCTGGCTCTACTGGCCGCTTCATTACTGAAAGAGAGGAAACTGGCATAAACCCACACCAGCAGGATCTAAGCGGAAAGTGAAATAGGAGTTGTGTTGTTATTTAATATATAATATGTGGTTTTCACTTAATTACATCCCATATTAATA